ACTCCTCCTGGCAAAGATAGGCATTTAGAGAGGGCAGTGTTAGAACAGGTTCTAGAAACAGTTGCCGTGCCACAGGCTCAGGAGCCAGCCTCTGAACGGGAAATCCAGGATGTTAGACCCGCGTGTGAGCTGAGCTCTGCACATTGGGTCAACCCCCTGGTTACCCAGAAAAGTCACCCTTAATGTGCTGAGCCTACCTCCAGGGGGATGCGTTTTTACCTTGTTTTCTGCCGTGCGCTTAAGGAAAAAAATCACAGCACCCACGGAGCCTGTACTCACTGAAAACAGTCATGTAACAGAAAAGGTCCAAATCCCAGCTCACCGTCCCTCCGTCCCCGAATTGGTTTGGGGTTTTTGATGTGTGTCTTTCCAGGTCTTTTTTTCAGATGCCAAACCTAAGAACAGAGTCACTGAAACCAGACTGACTGTCCCTGACCGGTAGCTTTGCCTCCGGGTGGGCAGTGGTGGCCTGGGCATCATGGGGGTTCGGTTTCTTCTCCATGCCCCTCAGGCCTCCCTCAATTGTCTCTACAGCTTACACGAGCTTGTGAAACATGAGGAAAACGGCCTAGTCTTCAAGGACTCGGAGGAACTGGCCGCTCAGCTGCAGGTAGCTGCGTCTGCCCCTATGCCAGGCCTTGCAGTGTTTGGAGGCCGAGCTGGGCTTCTGGATTCTATGCTCCTGCCGTCCAGTGGGCCTGTGATGGGCAGTGGGAGGGAGCAGCGGCCCGAGGCCGGGCTCAGTAGGCTGGGGGAATTAGGGTGCACGCCACCTGCCGTCTGGGGTTATGGAGCTTACACCGTACCGATGACGCACAGGTGCAATGTGTGTGTCACTGAGGGAGCGACTTGCATTTCTGATTTATGGTGATTTGCTCAAAAACCAGAAATGCTGATAGAAGGGGGCACCCACACACTGGAAGGAGAGTGAGGAGTGAAGGGAGCCTCCTGGAGGATGGGCGGGAGTCTTCAAGGGATACTTAGTTCTTATCACAAACAGTAATACATCATTTTTGACAATTGAGACCAAGAGCAGCACACTTTGTGGAAAGGCCCAGATAGAAAAATCTGTGAATGGTTTTGGCTGCGTTCCAATGAAACTTTATTTACAGACACATGGAGGGTTGCATTCGGCCCACAGGCTGTAGTTTGCACACACCTGACTTAGTTTAGCAAACCTGGAAAGTTTCAACGCGATCACTTCGTTCCCAGCATGTGGGCCGGATGGTGCTGGGCAGAGGCTGACCAGGCGGGGTGGGGGAGGTGCTCTTGGTGCAGGGAACAGCATGGCAGAGGCTGGGAGCACGTTGTGCGGATGGTGAACTTGGCTGCTGTCAGGTAGGGGCAGCGTAGGAGATGGAGCGTGGCTGGCATGAGGGCTCTCGTATGCCTGGTGAGGGAGGGGGCTTGCTGGGTTGGGGACTCGGGGGTCTGAGCTGTTTGAGAGCGGTTCAGTGGGCTGCGTGTGGAAGCAGGGAGGCCCTTGGAGGCTCCAGGACTTTAGGGGTGGTAGTGCGGCCACTGAGGGAGGGTTTCAGTAGCATCACTGGCCTGGCAGCTGCTGTTTGTTGTGAGGCGGGAGTCCGGGCTGGCGGGAAGCCGGAATGAGGGAAGGTCTGGTTATATTGTTTCTAGATGCTTTTCTCAAAGTTTCCTGATCCTGCTGGCAAACTGAACCGGTTCCGGAAGAACCTCAGGGAGTCCAAGCAGCTTCGTTGGGACGAAAGCTGGAAGCAGACGGTTCTCCCTTTGCTTATGGACACATGATCCCTTGGGCCAAAGACTGAACCCCACCGAGTGTGTCCTGGTGCTGGATGTCGGGGAAGGAAGACCCTCATGCTGACGTGAACCCCTCCCTGCTCCCTCCTTCCCCTTCCAGAAACCTGGCACTTCCCTCCCGCAGCCCCTTCCAGCTGCTGCCCAGTCCCTGCAAAGTCCTTCAAGCAGCGCCTCCCAGTGGACGGCAGCTGTAAGGACGGCGGGTGCAGCCTGGGGAATGAAGTTATTTTAATGCCGAGGGGTTTGTGCCCAGGAAACTGGTTCAGCCTGGTTTCTTCTTTGGAAGAACCACTTCTGTCTTTTCCTTTCCTCTTCTTTGAGTGTTTTCTTTTCCCCAGTTTATTACTTTTCTGTGATTTGCCAGGGCTTCTTCAACATCTCTTCGTCCCTGCTTTTGTCTCTTGGTATCTGCCTTTCCCAGCATCTGCCCTGTCGTGTCCCCGTTTTCACGTCCGCCTTAAATACAGCCGGCCCACTGCACTGTCAGAGCAGACGTGTCGTGTATACTATGGGCTTGATTTTGTGTGGGAGTCCAGGATGGGGGGGAAAACATACGTTATGTTTTTGCACAAATGAAATGCTTATCTCTGAGCCAAAATTTTCATCTCTGATTTATGGTGATTTGCCTAAGAACCGGAAATGCTGAGAGAAGGGGGCACCCACACACAGTTTATATTTTTTTAGAATATAGTTTGTGGTTCCTGACCCGGAATTTAACATTCTTCAAACATTCAAGTCCACTGAAAGCTTTTATCACCTTTCCCGCATGAAAACTCTTTCCAGGATATCGATTTAATTTTCATGGTACTCTTCAAAAACATATGTAAACCTACAATGTTAGTTTCAGAATGGCCATCTCTGAGTTCTCTTCATACGGAAACAGTTTCTGGTTGTGACGAGGCACTGCTTCCCATGAGATCCCAACCCGGCCTGGAAACAAAGCACATGTCAGGATGGTGGGGTTTGGGGACAGGACACCACCCCTATCAGTGTGGGGCTCAGGACAGGCTGGGGGTGGGGGTGGGAGAGAGTACGAATCACAGATCTCCAGGCCCCATCCAGACACCTAGAATCAGCCTCCAGGGGCAGGACCAGGAATTGAGTTTTTAAACAGCTCACAGCAGCCAGGCCTCCTGCCTCTGCCCCGCGGGCCGTGCCCATCCCTGAAGGTCACGGCCTGTCTGGGTTCCCTGTTGCTCTCTGCACCTGTCCACCCTGTCACCAGGAGCTGCTCAGGCAGAACCCGCTCTGCCTGGCTGCTTAGCCCAGTGCCTCCTCACAAAAGCTGGACGCACATCTGAAAGGGCCCCCCGACCTCTTCCTGAGAACAGATGTCTGAAGAGCTGTTGGACGATCATTTTGTCATCAGGTTTTTACGAATGAAAAAATATAAAAGTGAAATCAGACAAAAATGTGGAAGCGTCTATAATCCTGCTGTCCAAGTATAACAACTGTTAACTGGTGTATGTTCTTCCAGGTTTTCCCCCATATGAATGTTAACATGAAGATGATTTTTTTAAATAAAAATGAGCTTATACTATATATGCTGTTTGGCACTTCGCCTTCTTAAGATATATTGTAGACATTTTTTTCCCATTAAGTATCTGAAAGACTTCCTTCTTTGAGGCTGCAGCGCGTTTCACTAATGGGACGTGAGCACACGTGGGTGGGAGTCTGGATGGTCTCTGTATCTGTTCGTCTGTGTATCTGTTAGCAGAGGCTGCTGCAGGCGGGCCTTTGCTTGGGGGTAGGGGGGAGGTTGGGGCAAACACAGGGTCTTGAACTGCTGCCAGGTTACATGTTGGAAGCCCTGGTTGGGCCTCTTAGGTGGTAGGGATTGCAGGGCGGTGGTGGTGGGGTGGGGGGCTGGGTGGAGAGCAGGAACCGGCTGCCTGGCTCGACTTTGGAGCCTTGGGCAGTCACTTAGCCTCCTTGTACTTGAGTGTTCCATGGGGAGGTGCAGGATGATAGCACACCCCACCGGCTGCCAGGGGATCTGAAGACAGCGCCCGGCCCGCGGCAGTGCCACTTCAGGGCTGTAAGTGGCAGACCCCTCCCCATTCTCTAAAGTCATCCCTTGCTCTTCCATTTACTGGGTGCTTAATCCAGTAATAGCAGCTACCGTCTTCCCGAGTGCTCCCTGCATGCCAGGTCCTGTTCCGCCCCCGGGTGACATTTCTGCTGTCCAGGTGACCTGGAGGCAGTGGCAGCCCAGCTCCACGAGGGTGTGATGGGATCCACCTCCAGAGCCTGTGCCTGACCCTTGTGGCCAGAACCTCATCCACCCTGACATCTACTGGCATCTGCTGTCCTTTCCCCTTTATAGACAAGGAAACAGGCTCTCGAAACTTGCTATAAACACACAGTAGGGCCGCTGGTCTCAGACCTCCAGGATCGTGGTACCAGCTGCCTCAGAACCCATTCTCCAGTCCTGCCTCCTTTGCTGACCTCCAGGGCAGGGGCTGTCAGCCCAGCACGTCGTGTGGTCTGGGGCTTCCTGGTTTGTCTTCAGGGTCCCATTCCTTTACGTCCCTGATTTCTGCCTCACTGGAGTCCCACGTGGGGCTAGCACTGTGTCCCTGCAGGTCTGCGTGATCTCTCAGAGCCAGCAGCCTGTCCCAGGGCCTGGGGCTCACCCATCTCGGTGGTGAACAGCTGGCACGTCTCTGGGTTGCGGACGGTGAAGGCGACATAGACGTCAGGAGCCTGCTGGTCCTTCCGGCAAGCAGCGAGCCTCTGCAGGACCCCGACCAGGGAGAGGATAGTTTCTGGGCAATACAGCACATCTACGATGAAAAAGCCCCGGTTACTGACAGGGACTCCCCCTAGGACTTGGGACCCCAGAATGGAGGGCTGTGGGTCATGCCAGCCTTGGCAGCAGGGCGAGGCCCTGGAAAGCAGCAGTTCTATTAGATGGAAAGAAAATTATGCAGGTAAAAAAAGAAAACCCTTAGGAGAGAAGAAAAAGCTGCTGAAAGACACTGCAACAACCGAAAAATATCAGGGCTGTTCTTAAAAAAAAAAAAAAAATCAATTCTTTGCCTATGGCCTATTTAGAGGACACTTAATAAAGCAAACCCTGACTGTGCCTTAGACTTCTGTTTCCAGCAGCTTGCCGCTTTGTTCTCTGCAGTGTGGGGGGACAAACTCGCTCCTGTGCCAGACAGCCGGGCTTGCAGAAGTGAAAAGGGTGCCACCTTGGGGTGTATTGCTCAGGCTCTGCGTTCTGGCCACTGTGGGCCCGTGGGTCTCAGGGCTTTGGCTCAGGACCAGAGGCACAGCGCTATCAGCCAGACATGGGACTGGGTAAGCTTGGCAGAGGACAAGGGGCCTGGTGGTTGCCAAGGCAAATGCCCCTTTTCTCAAAGACCCTGTCCTTGCACTGGAAGTGGGTGGTCCCCTCTGGGGGGGGGGCTTGTCTCTGAGAGACACAGGGGTGTGCATGTACAACAGGGACATGCAGGAGCCCCTCTCCTCACGGACACATGGACATATAGTTTTGACACGGTGAAGGAGGCCGGAGCTGACGAGCGGGGGCGCGAGGCACTTGTGGCTCCTTTCCTGACTCAGCCATCACAATGGTCGGACCCGAGGCCTGTGGGTGCTCATGATAGAGGAATCAGACATGGTCCTGGTAAAATCATGCTGCTCTTTGTGGCCCTGCAGACAAGGCTGCCATGGCCATTTCTGCCCCCGCCCCCAAGTCTGAAGACGGGGCTGCTCTGGCCATTTCATTTCGGTTCTAGAGGGCAACCGGGAGGTCTCCCTCAGCCCGGAGAGGGACATAAAAGTGTCTACTCGGATGTGGCCTGGCTAACAGGTCAGCCTGGCTTTGTGCCCTGGGGCCTGTTTATTCCAGGCCTTGCTGGGAAGAGCCAGGCTCATTTACCTGATGGAACCATTACAATGGGTGTGTGTGTGACCATTTTCTCCAACAGGAGGACTGTGGCTATAGGGCACCCAGGAGGCACATGCTGTGCTTTGATGTCACCCTGGAGGCCCATGATGACCCTTCCAGATATCTTATGACCCGCCTCGGCCCCTTGAGGTATCAACTGTCCCCTTCCCTGAGCTGAGAGCTGGGTGGAGCCACAGGAAGCCACTCGCTCCAGTGGCCCGGGCTAGGTGGTACCTGAGGCGATGACCACGTCTGGCTGGAAGGCAGTGAGCTGGGGGGTCGTCACAGTGTCCCAGTCCAGCCGGGCCACTGTCACCCTGGGGCTCTCTGAATGGTGGGTGTCGTGTACTGGGTGCTCCACAGGGGTGGTGGCATCTGGCTCCAATAAGAGGTTGTTGAGAAGGACATTCCCTCGGAGCTGCTCGAGGACACGACTGTGACAGTCACTGAAGACATAGGCTCTGGGACGGCACATCTTGCAAATGGCCAGGCCTGTGAGGCCGGCTCCACTGCCGAGCTCTAAGACAGTCCTAGGTGGGAGGAGGGGACGTGTGTCTGCAACTGTGCCAGAGCAAAGCCACCTCGGTGCCCTGCCCTGCGCTCCGAGGTCACCTGTGAGTGAAAGCCCCTGGGTTCTCTATGGCCCATTCTGCGAGGTAGAGAGCTGCGTTCCACGTGACCAGGCCGGTGGTGCCATGGGAAATGATGGCTGTGCTCTCAGAGAGAGTGACGGCATCTCCAGAAGGCTGGATGGAGACAGGGAGAAAGAATTAATCCAGCTACCAGAAGACAAGGAGCTGGTGTTAAAAAAATAAAATAAAATCACAACAGGTAGATGGTTGAACAAACCGGTAAGTCCATACGTGGAATACTCCACAGCAACAAAGAGGAACAAGCTATTGACGCGTGCACCAACTTGGATGGATCGCAAGGGTGTTATGCTGAGTGAAAAAAGCCAGTCTCAGAAGGTCACCTACTGTGTGATCCCATTTATGTAACATTCTCAAACATGACAGATTGTGGAGATGGAGAACAGATCAGTGGTTGCCGGGGGTAGGGGATGGGTGTGATTATACAGGAGTGGCTTGAGGCAGCCTTGGGGGTGACTGGACAGGTCTGTATCTTGACTGCAGTGGTCCCTGTGCAGATCTCCACGTGTGACAAATGACATAATTATGCATGCGCTGTGCCAGTGTCAGTGACCTCACTGTGATGCTGCGTGAGAGTCACATGTGTCCACTGGGGCAAGCTGGGAAGGGCACATAGGACCTCTCTGTACTATTTTTGTAGCTTTCTGTGAATCTATAATTAGTAACAACAACAAAAAGTCCCAACTCTGGTATCATGAGCTATATGTGAAAAATCACAGTGTGTGGGACCTTTCTGAATCACATTTGGGGGTGGAGAATTCTCTGGCCTTTGGAGTTTCATGTTGCTCCCAAAGCAGGTGGGGGACCCCACACTTGGCTTACTGGTACATGCTCCATGGAACATGCAGCTGTGAAATGTTCTCCAACCTGGGGCCCCCTGAGAATGGTAACCCCAACATGCAATTACCCAGGGGTGGTTTCCTGGCTGTCTCTGAGCTCAGGAAACTCACGTAGGGGGTTCAGGTCTCTGGAGTTTGTGAGCATTCATTTGTTCACGCACACAGTTTTTCCCTGAGCATCTAAAATGGGTGCTGGGGATTCAGCTGTGACCAGATGAACTCATTTCTTGTTCTTATGGAACTTACATACCAG